CCCCTATGTTAATAACTTATTGATGCTGTTTTTGAAGTATGAATAAGTCAATAAGTAATTTTTTCCATTGAAATATCATTGATGTATTATAGAAATGTGATTTATCTTTTCATAAATGACAAAAGGCACATCTGCCTCATTTTCAATGTGGTATCGTAATACTACTCAGAAACATGATATTTTCATTGGTATAGAACAGTGAGTCCCAATTTTGGTACCGTGACAACACTAATCTGGAGGGGGTTCATCTGCTAAACAACAATATTCGGTATTCGGTACTCGGTATTCGGCCAAGCGTTTAATAATATTCGGCTTCGGCTTCGGCCACAAATTTTCATTTCGGTGCATCCCTAATAGTTAGGTGCTAAATTTCTTGTGGTGTAATGTGTAATTCTCAGTGTAATATTTGTTTGTAATTTAAGCATTTTAGGTGTACTGTCTCTCACACTGAGGTATTTTACTTCCACCTGACACATATAAGTCTGCAGACGAAGGTCTGCCCTTGGAGGATGTTGCCAACGAAGCCTTACTCAAACAAATAAATGCATCACTATTAGCGCTGAGGTGACAGACGTATGTTTCTGAGTGGTCATTAAAAATGTGAAGGATCACCCCAATTACCCCCTCGGTGACCTTTTAGTGACAGGGCTTCTAATTAGTGCGAGAAGTATCTATCTCTATGGAGAAAACTGAGAAGAGCGAAGAACTGCTGTGAATGAGAAAGAGTGGGTCATAGCGGCTCTGAGCCTCTAAGAGGGGTCCTTATGTATAATTAACTTGATATGCTGGTTTAAGTATGTGTTATTGACTCATGTCACTTCAAATGTAAATTAGAAAGGAAATCAACGCTGCAATAGAATTATTATTCATTACTCCATTAGTTTTTGACAGTTCAGACAAGGTCGGTGAACATAAACAGTTCTTTCTTGTGCTGGATCTGTGCGAGCTGGTGCTCTAATACCTAATGTCCTCAGGAGACACAGCTTACAGTTTTTTTTTTTTTTCATTAACAGAAAAGGAGTTTATGACTTAGTGAGCTATGTTTGAGCTTACACTCTCAAATATTTTACTTGTAAATTGCCTTATTTCATAGTAATGCCAACATCCCTGCACCGGAAAATGAGCTCAAGCCCCCGGAATACCATCCTGAATGTGGAGTCATTGTCAGTGAAGTTAGACTTCCATTTCTCGTGGATCGGCTTTAAAATGGTTCATGTTCTTACAGAGAAACTGACTTCAATTTCACAAGCATTAAACTGAAATATAGTCTTGTTTGTTTGCAACATCACATTAAGTTTTTTTGTTGTCTAGAATGCAGTATCTCAAAAAAACAGAACGGGAAGAATAAATGCGACCTTGAGCCATACTCCTCCAATTCATAGGAGTAATTTAAATTCTGTTTTAGTCTGCATTTCTTTCCTTAGGTTTGGCTATTTCAGGTTAATGGTCCTTTGCTTAACACTCACTCAGTACTGTATTATTACTGCCCTTCTGTTCTGCAGCTATGGAAGACTAGACAGCTGTGTTTTTATATTTTGTCAGAGGGTGAGATAGATGAGCCAAAGAGTGTTTTTTTCCCTGAAAATGAAGCAGCTTGTTGTGAGTGTAGTGCCAAAATGATTAATGAATAATAGTCATCACCGTTTATTTACTTTATCTCATTTGTCACAGACTATCATGAGTGTGTTACAGTATTATGAAACTGAAATTGCCTTGTGTTATCCTGTCCTACTTTTTGTATCAATATTAATATCCACTGTAAAATAAATAAATAAATAAATAAGTAAATAAAGTAGGCAGTGTGTGTGCAGTGTGAGAGTAACCACAGGCTTCTTCATGTTGTCACAGTGAAGTGAGCTGTCGTCAGCTGTCACCGGCCCTTAAGAGAAACAAGAAAATAACTCCAGAGACTTCTCTCATTTTTTAGTTCACCAGAATTACAGGGAGAGTGAGGCAGTTTTGTAGTAGACCAGCAACGAGGGGTTTAAGACATAGGCTGTGGAAAAATGCATGTGGCATGTGTAACATCGCTCATACTGTCAGTCTCTGAGGCTTACTGCCATACTTTAATTGGAGGTGGATTATTCAAACTGGGCAAAGACGTGTGCATGGATGGAGGGTGGGAGGAAGCAACAACCACCACTACGTGAGCGTAATAAGCTGAGACTCCTGTCAGGCAAACAAGAATGTTTCAAAATCATACACTGCATAAAAACAATGGATGGATTTTGAAGCCTTTAGTTTGACATTTTGGCTGTCACCATCGAGGATTTTTGGAGCCAGAAGTGACCATATTTGGACAAGAGGGAGGAGCTGTAAAGGAGAGAGGGGTGAATCTGACTTAAAGACTGTAGCTATGCCTCGCAGACAGCCTGTCACTTAAAGCTGCCCTGCCTTTAATAATGTGTAACTTTAAGACAAAGGGCTCTAGTTTCCCGGCGCAGCGCAGGGTGGCGCAGGGTGGCGCAGGGCAGCGCAGGGCGGCAAACCCTGCACAGAGCTAGTTTCGAGCAGCGCAACCCGAGGTGCGCTCAGTTTGGTAGTTTGGCAAACCGAGGTGCGCCGAGATGGGTGTGGCGGCGCAGCAGGGGGAGGTGTCGACAGATCCAGCTTGGCGCAGTGACAGTTTCGTGCCAAAAGGCTTCGCCGAAGGTGCGCTAAAAGCTCGCCAGCTGAAACCAGGTCTACTGTTAGCGCAGGCGGAGCGCAGCCGGTGTAAGCCGAAGTTTGGCTGACCAGCGGACAGTGCGCACATGTCACCAAAACCTCACAGGCAAGTTCCCAGAATGTCAGGCACATTAACGATGCAATAAATAGCCAAAAAAACACAATTCAATGCAACTATCTGCAATCAGCACATAAATGTATCTCTATATCGACTGTCCCGTCACATCTGATGTCAGATCAAAGGGGATTGGCACCGTTTGGCACCGTTTGGCACGTTTGGCACGCGTAATGGAAACCCAACCTGATTTGATTAACAAAACTAATGAGTTCACATCCCTCTCAGCCAACCACAAACAGCCACAGCATCAGATAGGGAGTATATATTCAGCATCTGTCATCTTAGAAAAGTCAAAAGAAAAGAAACAGAGTGAGACTGCGAGAGAGAAAGAGAGAGCGCACGCGCGCACGAGACATTGATTTACAATTGTGGTGACCTCCTCCCAGGCTACCTTTGCATCATGAGCCCGTGAAGGTCTGCTCGCAGTTTGGTATATTCGGACACTGTGAGCTTGGACCTCCCGGACCAAAACATCAGTTTCCTCCTGGGAGAAGTTTGGCTGTCTGATGCTGCTGCTCTCTTCTGCCATGGCGAATTGAGTAAACTCTCATTACGCTTTCGCGTGGTGCATTTAAAGGCGAGGAGAGGGGCTCATTTGATTGGTGTGATGTGTGTAAAACCCACTCCACGCCTTCTCTCCTCCCTCTTTCCGACTTGCGCCAGTAGGAGGGACGGAGGTGGGATAGAGGAGTAGCTGCGCCAGGCGCACAGTGTGCCAAACTTACAAAATCCGCCTGGCCACACCCGGTTGGCGAAGCGCAGTTGCGCTGCGCCTCTGCTGCGCCCGGTCTGCGAAACTAGAGCCCTAAGTGGTATGTAAATATAAAAGTATAAAAGTTCACCCCCTCATCTTTATTACTACTCTTAACTGGGGTATTTTAACATTGTGGTCCATGGAAATTGACTCGCTTTTGAAGCCACCCTCATGTGGCCATTCACAGAACTGCAGTTTTTGGCACTTCCTTGTTGACTGGTCCTGGTATTCACCTGGATGCCACTGCTGCAGACCAAGTACCCCCCCCTCATGGCAACAGCATTCCCTGATAAACAGTGGTCCCTCCAACAGGACAATGCCCCATGCCACACCACAAAAACTGTTCAGGAATAGATCAAAGAACATGACAAAGAGTTCCAGGCATCAACCTGGTCCCCAGATCCCAATCCGATCAAGCATTCATGGGCTATGGAGGTACCCTCGATTAACGGTGGGGCCTCCTTGGATTGGACCTGTCTCTGACCTCCCGAGGCATGGACACCCCTAGGGAGGGGTGTCCTGTGGTGTCAGGGACTGTGGCGTTGGCACCAGATCCTTAGAGTCCTGTTGGTAATCAGGTGGGATGCTGGTGTGTCTGATGTATGCAAGATCATATTGGAATCTGGGGAATTTCAAGACCAGGTGGGCGCTTAGAGCTTTTTGTCATGTTCCTCTGGCCATTCCTGAGCAGTTTTTGCAGTGGGTCATGGCATGGTCCTGTTTGGGGGTGCCACTGCATTTGGAAAGTGTCTGCAATTGTGTTTAGGTGGTGGAGTGTGTCAAGAAAATGATCAGTGTTATTCACTTTACTTGTAAGTGCTTTTAATGTTTTGGCAGAATGGTGTGCATTAGATGGCTGGTGGAATGACTTGTAGGAGGGATGCTGGCCTTGTATGGAGGGATCCTTTAGAAACCATCATGTTGCTGCCATCAGTGATGTGGCACTTTAGTACTGACTTTAGTTGTGACCATGCAGTGCACACACCAACCTAATTTGTGAGAGGAAATAATGTGGACATAGGTGCTCCTCTGCTGGAATGGACTCTTCTAGTGTCCTGTCAGTGGCAAGGCAAACGTTAAACTGGTGTGTAGATAACAATGATCCTGCTTCGTGTGCGCTAAGCAGGATCTATGGAAACATTCATCACTTTCCTCTTCCTTAGCTCCCTCTTTTCCTCTCAGCTCTCCAAGCCACTTTACATTGGCACCATATTGACAGTCTGCACAGGGTTGACAGACTGGATCTGGAGCGTGAGGATTGATTAAATGTTCCATTTGATCACAGACTTTCTGAATAAGATGGATGGCCCTGACAGAAAAGATACAAGACGGGGACTTGATTCCCATGACTTGCGTGCACACACTGCTCATGCACGCCCACAGACACAGATACACACATTCAAACTGTCTAAAAATGAAGCAATAATTTCTTGATTTTGCCTTTTTTTGGTAAATCCGCAGATAAACCTGCAGAGGAGGATGAGGGTCACGGGCCTAATTACCCAGGGTGCAAAGCGTATCGGCAGCCCAGAGTACGTCAAGTCTTACAAAGTAGCCTACAGTGATGACGGGAAGACCTGGAGAACATACAAAGTCAAGGGCAGAGATGATGATATGGTGAGTACACACATGTGGGCACACAAACACATACACACCCGTTGTCACATCTCCACTTTTTCCCTTTAGTCTCTCACACTGTAATACACAGACAAAGATGCACACATGCCCGCACTCGCACACGTGCACACACGGCGACAAGAGACTGTGCACTCAGTCAAGGGCAGGGTAGAGGACATGATGAGATGGCTTTTTAATTAGCTCGCACACACCGGGCCCATCTTGCTGCCCCTTACCCCCCTCCACTTTTATGACTTCTAGATTGAATTTTTATACTATTTGGGGATGAACAGCCACCAAATAGGCCACACAGCGTTCTATCATTCCTGACAGCAAACCACGGCTGTCCTCCATTTGGCCGAGCTCCGAATGACCCCGACTTCCAAACTTCTTTTCAAAATTATTACACTGGACAATGAGTCCGGACTTGGATTTTCTGTGATCTCAGCTTTTTTTTTTTTTTTTGTATTTTTCTTTTTAGCGTGTAGTTGTCAGTCAAAATTAGGCATGTAGAAAGCAAGAATGTGCATGATTAAGTGTAGATAAGTAGTGTAAATTCTGGGGAGGAGGTTGTAACCATATGAGCAGACTGGGATAGTTACCTGCACAGTAGGACCTGTCAGTGTGTCCGAGGTCGTCACACGCCTTGATCCTTGACCTCATGGAAGTTGGGGATTTTTGCTCACACTGACCTGTTGCCACCCAGTGACAGCTCTCATTTCCTGTATCGCATGAGAACACACTGCTCTGCCTCTCCCCTGCTTTCACTTTCTCTGTCGCCCTCTCTCTCTGAGCCTCACACATGCAGTACATCAGTCATTTAAATCAGAGGGCTGCTGTCAGACTATCTCAGGTCATTTGGATAAAACTCTCCAGAAGGTATAGCGATATAATTGGAGCACTAATTTAAAACACACCACTGTTCTTATGAATTACGGGCTCAAATGGTGCGAGAAATTGTCTATTTTTCCCTGTAATTCTAGCTCATTGACCTTGAATGACAGCAATTTGTTGAGTGTGGAGTAGACACTAGAGACCGCGCCAGATAGACTGCTACATTAGGGCAAAACTGATCTGCTTCACCATCCTCCCCGCCCCCATCTGCTGTTATTTCATCCCCTGCAACAGATTTTCAGAGGAAACGTCGATAACAACGCTCCATCAGCCAACTCCTTCACCCCTCCCATTGAAGCCCAGTACGTGCGCATTTACCCCCAAGTCTGCAGGAGGCACTGCACCTTACGCATGGAGCTGCTCGGTTGTGAGCTAACAGGTGAGTGAGCTGAGCAGGTTTCATCCATCTGTACACACAAATTAATCATGAAATGATCTGAAAATCCTTTGCAGTGTGCCTCCTGCATGTTGTGTCATGCTGCATATTTTATGCAGTCAAGAGGGTTGGAGCAAATCTGTTTGTTTTTGTTGTTGCCAGGCTGCTCTGAACCACTAGGAATGAAGTCAGGCCATATCCAGGACTACCAGGTCACGGCCTCAAGCATCTTCAGGACGCTCAACATGGACATGTTCACTTGGGAGCCTGGGAAGGCCCGCTTGGACAAACAGGGCAAGGTCAATGCCTGGACAGCTGGACACAGCGACCAGTCGCAGTGGCTGCAGGTAAGATGTTATCTGTCTCTAAATGTGTTATCTGTTTCAGCTACTGTAGAAATTCAATCAATATATTAGCAGGGAAATAAACAGCAGACAGCCCGCTTCTTGCAGATAGCTGGTTTTCACTCTGCTGAAGGATTAGCTCTTACCTCCCTGGCATAGTAATTGATGGCGTGTACATGGTAATGAATGCCAATGGATTCAATTATATTTCATAGGGAAAGACCTCATTGATGTGTACAGTGTGAGTTGTGGAGGAAGTTACATCTTAAAAACCTCGCTCTATTAGCTATCTTTCAGTATTATTCTTCGAAACAGTCAGTAATAGGTAGTCTCTTTTTTTTTTCTTCATGCCAGTCCTTTTGAATCCAACACCCACACTGCCTCTGTTGGAAGAGTTTAGCCCTGTTATCTTTGGCTGCAGCCCAGGTTTTCTATCTCTATGAAAACAGCCAATTCATTTGTTTTCATTACAGTAACTGATGGCTGAAAATGTCTCCTGAAAGGGACAAGACACATCTCTAAGTGAACGTTTACACCCCAGTCTTTCTGCTTAACAATATGTGAGATTGATGGAAGCCCCCGGGAGTTTAAGATACATATCAATCAGACCCAATCATGCCCCAGTATGCCCTCACGTATGGCCACGTATATTGGATTTTTTTTTTTTTTTTTTTTGGTCTTTTAAGAAAAAAGCCACTAAGCGCTCTTTGCTTTTAGAGAATGAAACCACGTCTTACTTCAAGCTGTAAAACTGATAGCATAGAAGAAATTGTGATGTGGATCATCTTCTCAGGGAATTGAAGATCAGAATGATTTCTTTGATTTCTTGGCCTCTAAGCTGCACTTGCTCCACGCATACCGCCTCCCTGGCAGTGACACAGTTAGCGCTCTGTAGTCATGCTGACTTGTCTGGCCGTTATTAGATTGGCCAGGTCTTGAGTCAGATATGTTTTTTATTACGCTGAAAGCTTTTTGTCCAGGGTGAGGGTATGCAGGCCTGTGTGTCGGAGGAGACAGGTACTTAGGCAGGCCGCATCCAGGCCAGGGTGCTCGGCTAAGCAAAATTGATTGCTGTGGGTAAACGAAAACTTGTGGTCTCATATTACATGCTGTGCCGGCAGGAAAGGGGAGATGCTATACAGACGCAGTGAGAAAATCAATGGCTTCCACTGCCAAGGACCATATCTGTGCACAGAGACGTCTACAATATCTGGCTTTTTGAAAAGCAGACATCAAGAGTTATACACTGATAAGTGCTGCTCCACATTAATACTGATAACAGCTGTTGGAGCTGACCACTTTTTTTATATTTAGTGATCATCTTATATGCATTTGTTAAACTCCCACAGTCAGTGTCGTCTTCATACTGGTTGCCATGGAAACTAATTGATTTTCAGTGACATTACTGAATGACTTTAAACCTAACAGATTAATGGAATTAATCAGCCCTAATGACAAAATAAGTATTCCTATTAATCAGGACTCCTGCTCTGGTCCGCAGTGGAAGCAGTGGGAAACTCTTTACAGACATGAAATATCAAACTGGATTCCCTGATGCATAGGACTTGACAAGATGTCATTTCAGTAGCAAACAGTGGAGTTGGGAGCTGACAGATTTGTATCCTGCGCTACTTATTTATCAAATAAGCAGCCTAGCCTTTTGACAGTACAAAAAAGTACATCATAGTAACTCTATCATGATTGTTTTTGATGTTTTTATTTATGTTAGTGATTGTTGTTTAGCTAAAGTTTAGACTGAAAAATGAAGCCATAATATTCCACATATGGGTAATATCATCTTGCACTATCATCTTGATGTCATTTGGAGTCAGAGTCTGTGAAGTGGAGTCCCCGCCCATAAACCTGTCCAACCCAATTGTGAGCAGCACTGCTGATTGTGAGCACAAGGATTGACCCACACAGCTGTCAATCATGCCGACTCACCCCCTTTTATAGCGTCTTATAATTCATTAAAAACACCACCACCAGAAAAATGAACATTTGAACATACATCAACATGATAAGAACAATCTAAAATACCAGGAACCACCTTTGGGAAAAAATTATTTGATGTGGACTTTGAGTTCTTAGCCATGTCCCATGTTGGGTGCGGGTTTTATGACAGATACTGCAGCCAGCCACAAGGGGGCGATAGACATGTTTTGGCTTCACTTTTGGGAAGCTGTCATGTTGTCCATCTTTATTATACAGTCATTACATTAAACATGTATTATAGTTGGTGCCTTTTGTAGTTTTCCTACGAATTCTGTCTAAATGGTGACATGAAATTCAACACTACTGACTCAATTTAACAAAACATTGACGGCTCTCTGGGTTAAAATGACACATTGTTCCAATTATGATCATGTCACTTATAGGATTACACAACTCAAACATGCAATGAATCATTTGAATGCTAATTATTTGATCATCAAGTGGAGAACATGGTTTTAAGTCGATTAAATACTTACGGAGTGGAAATTCTGTGCCGCAAAAAAACAGTAAAATCTTACTCTCAAAAATACCAAGAACTGGACCTGTTTGGGGAGTGCCCAAGCTAAAGTTATTCTGGCCTGGCAGGAGATAAAATTACACAGAGAGAGACCGAACCAGAATCTTTCAAGATGTTTTCAAGAGAGGAGCTGAAGCTGTCAGACTGAGCTGCCAAGTGTTCCAGCTGGCATAAGCTGATTAGTTAATTATGCACATTAACATGTCCACATAGCAAAGAGAAATTGCCAGAGAGACAGTAGCTACTTTTCAATTTCACACTGTCCCTGTCAATGCAACACATGCACTGCAGATTTCTGGCGAGTTGCGCTCCAGGACTGTGTAGAGGGTTTTTTTTTTTGGTGGATTACGGTAAACACTCCTCAGACAAAAAAAATCAACACGGTTAGAATGGCGTGATTGTGTCTCTTCATCTCGCATCTCTTAACTGCACTGCAGTCAACAAAATACTTAGGAAGGATTCACTTTCCTGGATCACGATGTTGAATGCTGAATCACATCTCATGTTGTGGGTAGCACTAGAACAGGTTCCAGGCGATATCTGCACTGACAGGAAGTGAAGATTAGGAAACCTTAAGTACTAAAGAGAATAAGTGCTCTGATAAGAACATTTTAGAGTCCATATTTTAACTTGTGTCCACAGTAATGACATACCGATATGGATCTTAGACCAAGTTTGAGAACATTATCTCTAGAACATAAACAGCTGTTTGCCATTACAAGGCTGCAGAGAAGTATTGCAAAGGGAGTGAATGCCTTTGGACACAGCACCTCCATACTTAAACTTTAATTTTGTAGTGTATAAAGTTTGTCCTTTTACAATTAAACACATTTCACTTCAGTTTATTATATGTAGTTAAAGAAAGAGAACATTTCCCAGATGACACAATATGTAGTATTGGAGTTAAACAGTCAGTGGTGTTGTGTCTTCACCGATCTGTCAAGGGACTCATAATCCTTCCACATGTAAAGATATCAGACTAATAGCACCCTTGAGCTGGACATTGGCAGGTTGACAATGTGCTGTTATTCAAATTGAGTTGAAAGGACAGCAGGTCTCAAATTACATTCTCCAAAAGAACTTTAAGCATGTTTTCACACACCCTTATAAACTCATAAATCTCTGTGGCAAAGCGGCAGAAATAAGAAATGGTCCTTGAGTTTCGCTTTGGTCGGGTGCCATCTTTAAGCTTTGTACACAAGATTAAACAAAGTACTAACCCTTTAGTTGAGCTACAGTAGAGTGGCTGTTTCCAGTGCCCCCAAAGATAGTGCTGTGCAGACACTTCACTACAGAGAGATTTATCACCAAAAGCACTCCACAGTATACTCTGTATACTTTGCTGTTGCTTCCCTTCATAGCAGAAACATTTTCTTTTTCTGCTCCTGATCCAAACAAGCTGTTTAGGTGCCACATGCTGCCATTGTCATACTGTTTAGGTACAATATGGTGTATGTTAGTGGTAGAATAGTTCCCAAGGGAAACAAACAGAACAGGTTCATAATATTTTCAGATATTTTCACATTGCTGCAGCTCACGTCTTTGTTTCACGTTATTTTTAGCCGCCTTTTTTATCTTCAAATTTGGAAAGAGTTCTCCAGTAACACTAGTGCTTTTGGCTGTTGCCTTCCACTGTCTCCACTATTTTCCCATACCATCACTGGGAGTTGCATTTAGTGGTGGGAATCTCTATGCCCCTCCAGATTCAATTCAGAGGGCTACGATGCTATAATAAAAAGATTATCAATGCATTTTGATGCTTAATTTTTATGGATTTCTACACCAGATTTTTCTCACTGGGTTTCTTCTGGCTACTTTTAAAACATAGTATAATTGTGATGACCCATGATTAAAATAAACAGATTAATTATACTTCCATTATCTTTTATTAATGCAAAAATAGTAACAAAAGGAAAATGCATCATTGAAGCTAAATGCCTCAATGTGCTGGCTTTTAAATCGGGGGTTGCCAATCGGATTGTATCCATCTGCAGCTACTCACACTCAGCCATCCTTACCAAAACTTAAGAAGTAGTGTTAGAATCACAAGGAACTTACAGCTTGATCTTACAGAACTGTAACAGGTGATCATAATGCCAAGAATTGGGTTTTAAATTTCTGATTATTGACTTTTCTACATTGACACGTAATCCATCAAGAGAGATTTGTGATGTATCTAAGAAGTTTTTCCCCAACTCTTTCAATGACAAGGACAAACCTTTGATACACATCTGCAAACATGACCAACTGTGTAATCATAAACACAGTACCATAAATGTCCAATTTAATTCAGCCCAATACAGTAACCTACCTAATTCCACAGAGAAATCATGTACATCTGTACAGTAAGTAATGATGTGTTGAAGGTTTTTTTTTTTTTAAGTATCATCCCAACATGCAATGTACAAATGTGGTCCGTAGACACTGATAGAGCAAAATGTGTTGCTTAATTTGCAACTTGTTTAATTTATTTGTAGCCTGGAAAGGTTAC